GGAACACTTTGTTTTTTTGGAAGACTATTGTGTTGGTCTTAATGGTATATTATGTCAGTTGGAATTGTAAGTACAATCAGATGAAATGAATGGAATGTGTTCTGTGAAATACTATATCTTTGTTGTCATTACTATTTTTCATTGCTGTCATTGCTGTAAAATGAATGGAAGATTGTGTTGTCTTCTTACAATCTCTTTGTTGTCATTGCGTGTCATTACAACTTATACTGTTACACTTTTTTGTTTCTGTCAATACTGGTGCTCATATTTTGTATGCTGTGTCATTTTGGGGTCATGTGTAAACATACCTGAACTTAGCACATTGGTCCCTGTTATATACCCTATAGGTCCTCAACATTTTTTATCGAGGACCTTTTTAGTCCCTGTTATTTTCCACACCAATGCCACATTGGTCCCTAACAGATTCATCAGGGTCCTTTTTGGTCCCTGTTAAACATGACAGTGACACCAATGCCACAAAAAGCTGTTACCAAACCCACTGCTCATTCCCCCTTCTGTATAATTCCCTCCATCCTTGTTGTTAGTGTTCATACAGTCTTTTGCATTTTTAATTGGCATTTCCAGATAACTTAATACTACATTTTGTGCTTTCAGAACAATCAAGTTCAAGGACATTAACCAAATTATATACATTGCATGAACAACATCTCATTACATCCTAACACTGGTCTTTCCATTACAAAGAAGCATACATATTACAGATTAAAAATGAACATTTCACTCCACCCTACTACAAAGATATAGACATATTACAAAGACAATGATAATGGATCCAACAAACACCCTAGCACACCTACACACATGCATCATTTCCTTCTCAACCCTGTCAAAGTCTGCCTGCATCTTCATTGATATGTCTTCAATCTTTATACAGTGCTCATTAATCTTCTTTTTGTGGTCATTCACCTCCAGCTGCAGTTCATCATTGAGCTTCATGTCCAAAACGTTCAACTTGAATTCCATTTCAGCTACATTCAACTCCAGCTTGTTAATTGTCCAATCTTCCAGCTCCATGGTATCAGATGTAGCATCATCCACCCATGTAAAAAAGTTACAGTGTGGCTTCTTTTCCTAAACCAAACTCAACTATACATTTAATAACATTGACATTAGAAAAATAATGCATGAAAAAATCAACCTCACCTTGAAGTTGGGGCACCCAAAAAATGATCTATTAGGGTTTCTAATGGTCTTGGAGGTGTAAACAACATTGTGCCTCCCACATTTACACAATGGAGCAACTCTCCTTCTTCCACTTCTGAATCCAAATGAACTACTTGAGCTCCCCATTCCAGAAGAGATATTCATGGCATAAAAACTAAGAACAACCCTAAATCGTACAGTATAAACCCACCTTCACTAAACGGTCAATCAATTTTCCCCAAATTCATGCGTTCAATCTTCGATTCAATCCCAAGCTTTCTGGTTTAAGAACAATCGTAAACCATACGATGACGTTCCTTGGATGAAAGTGAACTGATTCTGACCAACGTGGATGAGTCTCTCCAAACGACGTCGTTCCTAAACCAACATGGCCTTCAACATGTCACTTAACGTGACACATCAGCACCGTGAGTTTTGGATTAACAGAAGGACTAACGTGGGTCCTGTTTCTCTTTGTTGGGGACTATATCTAACTAATTTATTTTTGTGAGGGACTAATTTGGGCACTGAGTTTTTTGTCAGGGACCAATTTGGACATTTACTCTAAAAAGAAAGATGACATGACACATAACATGCTATTTTATATCCAAGAAGTGGCACTCATTTCAAATTTGAGGGAAAAAATTGTTTACTAACTATTTTGATTTTTAAAAAACTACTCATAATTTTTCTCTGATTTCAAAGCTTTTTCAAGCCTTAATTTAATTTGATATATTAGTGTAATAGGTCAAAATTTAGGATAAAGACCAAATTTAACACATTTTTTGAAATAAATTATTCAAATGCCATATTTCAAAAAAAAAAATTGTCAAAATGCCACATTTTAAAATTCATTGTCAGTCCCAGCAGGCATCGTTGTTAAAACGTAGTGTTGACTCGGTAGAAACGGAAGAGTCTACGTTTCTGACCCTAAAAACGTGTTGAAACAGTGCTTGAAACGGATTTTGAGTTGACTTGGTTGAAACGAAGAGTCAACTCGGTAAACTCGGCGAGTTTACCGAGTTGACTCAGTTTTTTTTTTTTTTTAAAAAAAAAAAATCAGCTTTTAAAAGGTTTTGGTTTTCACCTTTTTTGTACCGACACTATATTGCAAAGACAGCAAGAGCGGATTCGTGGAAAAAACACATGCAACTTCAGAAAAGGGGGGAAATACTAAAAACAAAACAGCGACAATAGATTCATAGTCTCCATACCTGGAACAAAAACAGAGAGAGTAGCAATCAATTTTGTCTTTATCCGATTCAGCAAAGCAGAAAATTTGAGAAACCAAGAACGAAAAAACCATGACCTCAAGTTGAGAAAATCGGAAGCGAAATTCAAATAAAAAAAGTTGACTAGTAGCTAGCAGCAGATCCAAACAGAGAAACAAAAATGGCAAAAATTGGACGATTTTAGGGAAAGCTGAAAATGGAAGGGAAAAGAAGGACGAAAATGAGAGAGAAAGAAGATGACAGAGGAGAGTGGAGACTGTAGAAGGATTCTAGAGAGAGAAAGAAGGAATATTAGAGGGGAAAAAGAATAGAATAGAATAGAAAAATAAAAGAAAGGGAAAAAGAAGTGATGAGGTAGGAGAGAGAGAGAGAGAAAGAAGGGGGGAGGGCGTGTTAATCAATAACGGGTAACAAAATTGCACCCCCACACACTACAGCGCACACGTGACATGAAATGTAAAATTGCAATTTAATATTATTTTTAAGTCTCCCAAAAATAAATAATATTGAACTTAATTTTTATTTTCTTTAATATTTGGAATTAAATGTGTGATGATTTATGTATTTATATGTTTTGTTTATATATATGTTGGATATATTTTTTTTGTTTAGTATGTAATAAACTCTTACATTTCGTTTACGTTTCACAATTTTACGTTTTTGCTCACCCTTATCGTTTCTACGTAGAAACTATGTTTTAACAACATTGCCAGCAGGTAAGTTGACACGTGTCGCTAGACAATGACCTGTTGTCAGAAACAACAGATCCAGGACATGTTGTTTATGACAGCAAGTTCCTATCCATGCGACATGTGACAAACAAAGAGAGCATTTATTTTTATGCAATTAAGTTACTATTTTGACATGTGTCGTATGAACAAGAACATGCTATCAGAAATAGCAACTACTCATTGTTTTTAACATTATACAAGCAACTTGTGACAAATTAGACCTGCTAGAACTGACAACAACGGATTTTGAAACATGACATTTTCACATAATTTTTCAAAATCGTAACATTTAGATAATTTATTTCGAAAAAAATGTCATCGCGGTTGTTGTCCCAAAATTTAAACAAACAAATATCCCTATTTATTTATTTAATTTTTTAATCCCTCTATCAGCTGGTGTGACGTGCAGAACTCTAGCGAGAAAGTAGGCAATGAACTGTTAATGTTCACGAAAGATTCTCCACAGAAACATGGTCAACTCTCCACAGAAACATTCCCACGTTTGATTTGTTTTTTTAAACGCCTTGAGCGTTACTTGAATAACCATCCTTATCCATCCCAAAAAAGGAAAGAAAATGGCTAGTTGACTTGAAGCAGCGTTTAGGGTGCCACAGCTAAGCTGCTTTCTTTTGCGCTGGCCATCGAATAATATAAACATAGAGGCATATCATATTTGTCAAATTTACATTTTTTACATATTACTACATACATCATTAAACATTAGTAAACTCATGTGAATGTTATATTAAAAATGTATCTATCTCTAAACGGAGCATTTGATATAGGAGAAAAGAAAATTTTATCGGAACGGAATGTGACGAAAAATATTTTTTTTCGGATAAGTCAAAGAAAGGTAATTTGGTCCATACTAATTCAGTTACCTTTTTACTTCCTCAGGCAAAAAAATATACCACCTAATCCATGAACTTTCTAACATGTTCCTGTACAAGAGTTTACACATAACAGCAAAAAAGGGGCAAAGTTTTTACTCGGAATTTTTTTTCATTTATTGCTATCAAACGTGACACACTAATTCTCCCTACCATAATTAATATGGGTACCAAACACTCCCTAAAGAATAAATTTATACAAATCAACTACGAACACATAAGATAAATAGTGCCTCCACAAAATTTTCTATATTCTCTTACGTATTGTTAAAAGATTAACCAATATAACCATTTCGATTTATCAATGTCTTTAACGCAGGTACAATTTTTAGTACCTTAATATGAGCTTTGGTAAGCTGATCATGGTTTATCAAGGGATTAGTGAGTAGATATTATTAGCTCTATGGTTTCAATTGTCGGGAAAATTCAACAGAGCTGAGGCTGTATCCAAAGGCCTTCTTGCACAATGCTAATCCTCCAGTAAATTTCAATTTTCACACTTTGGTCTTATATGTCCATCCTTGTGACCAATGATAAAAAGTAAGAAAATAATTTGATTGTGCCATATCCCTATTGAGGATGCAATTATAAGATGAACAAAATCCAAAATTCTATCTTTATGCAATATCATGCGGTATGAAACATGAGCTTACTGCACCCAGTGGCAAAAACATATATTTCAAAAGCAATTATATTCTTTCCTGGGTTTGTTTATACATACATTCAATCAAACCTTCAAGAAGCAAATTTATTATGAGGTCAATTGCAGTTGCTATTCGCTTTGGGGACTCGACTACATGCTTTCAAGATTAACAAGGATAGAAAAATGAAATACATAACACTCCCCTAAACCAAACTGATCATATATAACACTCCCCTAAACCAAACTGATCATATACTTCGATACTTTTTATTAAGTAAAGATATGTAAAAAAAAATATCATCTTGAATTTGAGAAACTGAATTGCCTTCACTTCGCTCAATCAACGAGCTGCTATGGAAATGTCGATTTGAGTAGCTTCTACATCTAACCCAGAAGTACTCAAGGATCTCTCTAAAGTCCCTGGAGATGGATGAGTGAGAAGGGAGAGGCTAAGAACAATTTCTGCCATAGTTGGTCTAGACAAAGACTTATCTGCCGTGCAATTCACTGCCAAAGAGGCCAAACTGAGAGCATGTTCTATAGGATAAAAGCTGTCTAACTTAGGATCCATCCATCTTCTGAGACCCTCCTCTCTATCCTCTTCTAGATCTACATCAAAGATCTTCCAAATATCCTTCCACAGCATAACCACCTCACCATTTTCTTTGGTTGTTATGGCTTTCCTGCCAGTAAGCAACTCTAACAGAACCACCCCAAAAGCAAAGACATCTATTTTTGGCATCATAGGGTTTGTAGAAGTTCTGGCCATGGAGAAATTTGCAATCTTGGCCTTAAAGTTAGAGTCAAGAAGGATATTACTTGTTGTGATGTCCCTATGGACTATTCTTGGAAAAGTGTGTTCATGCATGTATTGCAGACCCATGGCAACATCCACTGCTATGCTTATCCTCTGAGACCATGTAAGGAATGCCATTGAGTTTGAGGTGTCCGAAGCCTTGGAGAACAACCAGTCATCAAGAGACCCATTTTCAGCATATTCATAAACCAGGAAACAGTTTCCATCGTTGTCTGAAGAGACACCCATTAGTTTCACCAGATTTCCATGATTTACCTTCTGCAGAATTTTCAGCTCCTCGGAGACTTCTCCCTTGAATGTTTTAACTGCTAAAACCCGACCTTCTATATTGGCCTTGTACACTGATTCCCCAATCTTGCATTGTTCACTGAGGTTCAGGGTACCTTCCATGAGGGCTTCAATTTCATACACAGTTGGCTTGCTTACATAGCCTGAAACTCCAGAAAGTAGCTTATCTGCTGCAGTCTCAGCCGAAGAAGCACTCCTATTCAAAGTCTTCTTTCTCAGACAATAAACATACACCAAAAATACCGTTAAAACTGCAATCAGAAGTGTGCATCCCAGGGTAATACCAATTATAACAGCAAGATTAGTATTGCTTTTTCTTCCATCTGAAGGAGGTTGAGTAAGATATGGCAACTCTGTCACTGGGATCAAAACTGGAAGGTTGGTTGCAGTAGTGAAGTTTTGACCGTAGTTGTTTTCAATCAATATGTCCGCTGGGGATGCACCAAACTTGGCACTTACAAGGGAAACATTGTCATTGGGCTGCCACACATAAGTAATCAGATACTTTATCCCTTTTTCCAACTGGTTCTTTGACGGGCACCTACAGAATAAAGGGACTACTACTTGGATACCAACTGGTATTAGATTTGGATTTAGACCAGGGTTTAAAGCTATCACTATCTGCCAATTGGTGAGGTTCTCGTATGAAGTGGTTGCAACAAAGGAGTAGCTATCACCTTGCTTGATCTCGTAGGAGATATTGGCGAAAGAGTGGTTTCCCATGCAACCACATGTTACTGGTACAAGTAAAACTTGGCCTGGTATCAGCTTGTCATCCTCAGCACCTAAGTTACTGGCTCTTGCAATGGATAAAGGACTGGTATCAAATATATCAGATATGTTGGTTAGACTTAAAAAATTTGGAGACTGGGCAATGTATGTCACATATGTTTCACATGAAGGAGGTGAATCCACAGGGCATGAAAATTTTGTTCCATGGGTCTGTTGTGATTGACCAGCGATTTTAGTGAAAAACAACATCTGTGCAAGAAGAAGACTCAGAAGAACGAAGACAGCCATGGTTGTGGAGTTGTGGAGTTGTGAAGAAATGTAAGTTGCAAGGGAAAGAGAAAAGGAAGGTTGTTATCATAGAGAATTAAGAATTGTTGATATGGAGCATCCGTTGTCAATAAAATAACCTTTGGTTTAATATAAAAATTCTGCTGCCATCTGTGTGAGCTTTAGCTAATTTTCCTTTTTCATTTCCGAATCCTAGACACTGTGTAAACGTCAATATTCTTATTAGCCAAATAGTATGCAATTCATGCGCGGAATATAACAAAAAGGACATAAAGATTCCATAATGGTTTGCTTTTTAACCTTTCTGCTAAGAATCTTCAATTCGCAATATTTTAATACCAAATCCAACTTTAGGACAGCCAGTTTATGTTCCTACCAGTTCTATCTCTGCACGATGTCTGCTAGCTACCCGAGAGACACCTAAACACCAACTAACTCAATGTCTCTACCGGATTTTTAAGGGGCAAAGCCACAAATTTGGGGTTGGGTAGATTTGGTTTGACGTTTAACAAAGATCAAGACCATTATATATTTGATACTGTAAACAGCTTAGAATGTTGAAACATCCAGTTGCATAGGATATAATAAAAACACCTTAACAAATTCACCTTCATTTAATTTTGATAAAAGCAACTCAAAGTTGAACAAACGAGCTGTCTCCAGTAGCTAAGCAAGATATACACCAAAGAATAGGATTATGTGTAACAGCCTACTTGATAAAGTATCTTTCAACATTCGTTATAGAGTAAAGTACTTTTTGGATCCTCAACAAATATCACGGAACCCAATTTAATCTCTTAGGGGAAAAAATCGACTCATGATCCCTCTGAAATTCAAAACAGACCCATGTTAGTTCTTTGAAGAGACTAAAGTGGATCTTCTTTGAATTTCAGAAGGACCACAATTTTGACTAACTAGGTCTATTTTAAATTTCAGAGAAACCACGAGTCGACTTTTTTTTTTCTAAAGTATTAAATTAGGCCTTGTGAATTTTGTTGATGACCCAAAAGATACTTTACTATTCAGTTCCTATTTCTGGGATATAACCAATTCGTGTAACAATGCTTTTGCATTGCTACATAAGCTCGACATCCCCTACATAATCTTACCCTCTCATGCGTCATTCTATCACCTTATATTTTTTAATGCTTGAGTGCAGCTTTCATACTTCATATTCATCTCAACTGAAAACAATATATTAAGAGATTTTGTAATCCGCCTACTTTCTTAAGAAAAATAAAAGGAGTTGAAAATTGCAACAAGATAACCACTAACAATAAAAAAAATGGCAATCATTAGATGCCTTGCAAATTGCAAAAGTCAGCAGCCGACTCTGAATGTAGCTCTTCACACACCAACTAGAGATTCATTAATTTTGTGATCAAGCAGTTATGATTCACTTGTCTCAGTAAATACAACGAAGCATGTAGTAGCCACCAGAAATAGAGTTCATTTCTGAGTACCAACTCATGTCCTGGCCAACAACAAATTTTCCAAACTAAAATAATTACTGCAACTTAAACAAATTTTTGCATCCCTAACCCCTCCCTCCCGGGATAAAAAAAACTAAGTAATTAGGGTCTTGTTTTTCACCTGCTATAATGTGTGCTGAGATTTCATGCATGAAGACATCCACATCTATCTTATAGACCTATGGATAACTCTAGCCACCATTTGAATAAAAACAATTTGAATAAATATCATAAACTCTCGTGAGATCCGCAGAGCTGACAGTCCATACATGACCACGCAATGCAAGTGGAAGGACTGCATTTATTTCCTCAGAATTCTCTTCCACTGCTGCCGCCTCTCTCCGTCTCCCTTCTTTCCATAGGCTCTTCACTAGTAACTCTTTGGTGGCAGAGTCAGGTACCAAACCTGAATTTTTCATATCTTCAAATAGCCTCCATGCTAGTGCAGCTCTTTTTGACTTGCAATAACCTTGGATTAGTACCTTAAACAGATAAGCATCTGGCTCTAGACCGCTCTGCCTGACCATTGCAATGAGTCTCTGCACTGTTTTTATGTCTCCAAGGTGTGAAAAATAATGCATTAGACCTGAATATGTTTGTATATCAGGACAAATACCATTTAAAATCATCTCATCAAGCATATTCAGGGCATCCGAACTCCTTCCACACTTGGTTAGTGTTCTTATAAGAGAGGAATAAAGAAGCATCAGGTTAAATTTTGATATGGGCCCACAAAGTATTCGATCATCATTGAAGACCTTCAGAGCAGCATCAGCATTTTTTGAAATCCCATAAAAGTCAATGATTAGCCTGATGGTGCTGAATGGTAATCTCATTCCCTCCGTTCTAATCTTGGAGATGAGTCTATCAACCAATTCAGTACGTCCATGACGTGCTAGAAGGGTCATGATTCTTTGAACTGTGTATATGTCATGAGTAAATCCAGGTTGATCAGCAACCCAGCAAAAGAAATTCCATGCAGCTTCTGGTGATTTGAAATTTCTAAGTATCTTGCAGACCAACCTGGTTGTCCACACAAAGTTTGCACCTTCTAGCGCTGATACCTCATCAGGACTCCAATTCTGTAAGGCACTAGCCAAAGCCCGCGGGTCCAGCCATGGCTTTAACTGGACCCCATCAATATGATCACATTGACAAGCATGACTTACATCCTCATCCTCATCCTCATCCTCATCACTGCTGTCAATAGAATATCTTACATTCTTGATTCTTTCATCTGGCAAAATTCCTCTAAACAATGCGTCGGTCTCGTCAAGAAAGCCTTCCTCCTGCATCTGCTGCAGTGACAAACTAATGGCTCGACTAGGCAATATTCCATCAACTTGCATTTCATTAAGTAAAGTCCTGACTTCATCAAACAGTTTGCTAGCAAGGAAACCTTCAATCAGAATGGAGTACTGTTTCAAAGTGCGTTTGATCCTCATTGAAGGCAGCACGTTGAAGACCTCCATGGCTTCAGATAATTTCCCGTATTTTACAAGGTGCTCGATTATTATAGTATAGCTCCTGCAATTTGGAAGTGATCCTTCATCGATCATCCTGGAAAAAACTCGAATAACCTCAGAGTCCTTTCCCATTTGTGCATAAAGAGCCATAACAATGTTATAAGATTCAGTGCAGACATGGTTATTGGCAAGTCTATACTCATCCCAGAACCCAAGAACAGAGTCAAGGTCCCTAGCTGCTGCATGCCACTGCATGAGATTCATAAAGCTGATATTAACATTGCCGAACCGTTTAGCTCGGATAGAATCAACGAGGGATTTGAGCTCTGCGCATCGACCAGACTTTGCAAGCACAGTGGCGAGGGCATGGAGGGTGTTGTGGGTATGTGAAAAATGGGGACTTTCCTCGAGGGCATGTACAAGGGTGAGTGCTGAATCTGCAGAAGGTGCAGAACGCAGGGCTTGAGTAACGACGAAAGAGTCGAGGAGGCGATGGTTTAGAAGAGTGGGAATTGAGGAGTTGGGGTTATTGGAACGCAGAGTGAGTCGAATGGAGTCAATGAGCTTGGCACGGTTGAGGTAATGAGAAATTTTGGTGGCAAAGGGTTCACGACGTGGGCCATAGGAACGAGCTTGCACTCCCAGTTGCCGGGTTAATCTGTTGAACAGGTTAACCTCGCAAAGGAACGGCCTCAAGTTCATCGGCATTCAGCACCACCAAGGTTGATGATGCTTATAATTCATAAACAACGAACCGTTTTGTTCTGCATTGGGTGAGGCAAATAATCAAACACCTTGTCTGCATCCCGCGTTGGACTTGAAACATGAAAATTGAGGGCTATATTGATTCACATATGAAACAGGACTACAAATAATTCGAAACAACCCCAACCCATATTACCCGGCCCATAGCAATCAAATGCTCACCCGTTCGGGCCATAGAAAGTTCGTGGCCCATACACATTATAATGGTAATTGAACTAACAAGGGCTCCAGTCCGGCAGTCCCCAATGCACATAAGTGGGATAATCTAACATTTATTCCTATTACACATTATGCACATAAGCATTTCTATTATTTAATTATTATAGTATATTATTTGTGATAGTATAATTTTTAAAAAAACTTATAGAACGCTCTTAAAAGTATTTGGGGAGGTTATACTTACTATTTTTTTTTCTTGCTATCTCTTACTATTGAATATTAACCGTTGATTTCTGCCAATCTAACAGTTATAATTTATAGATCATATTTATTAATTAATTATTAAATTCCAATCAATTATAACCGTTAGATTAACGGAAATTAACGATTAAAATTTGATAGTAAGAAGTAGTAAGAAAAAAAAAAGGTAGTAAATATAACCTTTCCCAAAGTATTTAATGGTGCATAAGAAATATTTGATGCATAAATGTGTAGCACGTCACTACAACTAGTATTTTAAAGTGAGGTTTAATGTTTTTTATTTTGTTTGCACACATATAAAAGTATATACAGTCATATAAAGAGAAGAGATAAAAAAAATATGAAAATCACTCATTTTTAAAATTATCTCTTATAACACATTAAACCCTTTAAAATGTCCTTAATTCCTTCCTTAATGACATGACAACCCAATTTGACTTAGCAGAACTATATTTATTTTTTTCCCCTTTTTTCAATGATGGGTAAATTGTGAACTATAATCACGATTCCATTGGAGGAGTGTTTTTATAAAAGAAAATGCAAAGAATTTATGAATCTGGTTTACGACTTTCCAAGTGGTGAAAGGACATTCACAATCTTACGGTAAACTTCATCCATTTAAATAAATAATATATTCAACTATGGCTGCTATTTAGAAGAAGAAGAAATTCATACAGTCAGCTAACCAATGGTGAGTTGATATTCATCTGTCTAAATTAAGCACAAATTTTCTCGACCTCATACGTGATTAATGCATTGCGTGGTTTCCCAGATTAATTCTGGTTATTAAACAACTCAAGGAAGAAAGATTATAGGAAATTCAAACTACACTTACCAGGAGACACTTGTTTTAATCTATATTTGAAGTTAATATTTTACTTAATAGAAAGCTCAACAATTCGGTATCTGGCGCCTAGCAAATACTTGGCAGATTTGGTCAGTTCTTACCCCGCCAATTAAAAAGATATTTATTTGGGAGCCACGTTTCTTTTTGTAAAGAGTAAAGATCCTTTTTGATTTCTAACCAAAAAAACACGATATCCACTTTAGTCCCTTACAAAAATAAATTAGTTAGTTAGTCTCTAACAAATTCAAGGTGAACCCATTTTAGTCTTTTTGAGAGACTAATATGGATCTTTTTTGAATTTGTGAGGGACCACGATTTCTACTAAATGAGTCCACTTTGAATTTGTTAGGGAATAACTGACTAATTTATTTTTGTAAAGGACTAAAGTAGAGACCGTATTTTTTGTTAGGGACTAAAAATAATATTTACTCTTTTGTAAATTTCAGGAAAGTAAAACAAAAATGCAAAAACTAAGCGCAAGGCCAGCGAACACCTACGGAGTCGCTGTATAAACTTCGTAGACATCCTGGTGCCACGTTTCTCCAATTTCCTTTTTCATCAAGAAGCAAGTTTGAATTTTTGCTTGTTTTATAGGCCTTTTGGTAGAATATTTTATTTAAGATTCAGGAAAATTGAGGGTGATAATTTTATTTATTCATATTTAGTACGAGATTTTAAAAAAAATTGAAATTTTCATTTTCTCATTATTTTATTTGTCTATAAAATTTTCTCAAAATACTATCCAAAAATACCACCTAGGGGTGGTATTCTAGAACTTTCATAACAAGAGAAAAATTTAACACAACCAAACATAGCATCAAGAAAATTAATCTAACATTCTCGAGAGTATTTTGGCCTACCAAATAATTTTTTTAGTAACATTCTTGGAAAATTCATTTTTCCACTACATTTCTAGAAATTATAATTTCTGGATAAAAAAAAATTCTCCTATATCAAATTTTCCATAAAATATCTACAGTAGAGTAAATGAATCTCCCGTTGACATAGAAAACAATGGGACCATTAATTTAAAAAGTAAATAAATAAATAAATAAAGGGAAAAATATTTCTGCAGTTACTGCATATAAGTTATATACATTTATTCTCAAAACGACATCGTTTTGGTATTGAAATCTTAAAAAATTATAAATATAAATACTATTTTGACCCTGAAATAAATTAAAATTACAAAAATACCATGATTTCCATCTCAAAATAATGTCAATTGGATTTATTGCAGATAATTTATCTGCAGTAACTGCAGAAAAAGAGAACCCATAAATAAAACCAGCACAAGTTTTAATATATTTATAGGAGGAGATATTTTTCTCCTGCAACATAAAAAAACATATATCTATAATTACTGATTCTAAATTCAATAACTAAAATTATCATAAAATATATGCATATATTATAAAAAAAATAATTCAACTCAAAAGTTTAAGTTATTAGGTGAAGCTACATTAATAATTTTTATATTTACTAATATACTCTCTCACACAAGAGTTTATTGGGCTTGAAGCATGGAAGATACATAAGACCCAGCCTACTATTATTAAAAAATTCTATAATATTTAATTATTTTTTATTTAAAGAATAAGGGTAGTGACCATCAAATTCATGATCACTTAACTATGTTAGATTAGATATTATATAAAAAATTAATTCAATCCAAATAATTTATTTATTGAGTGAGATTATATTAATAATATTTATATTTATCTGACATATATATCATCAATGGGCTTTCGTCCCGTCCCGTTGCACAGCAAACATTTTTTTTCTCAGCAACAAAAAACGACAACTTAGATAATAAAAAAAAATTAGAACAAACACTGTATTCAATAATTTTCTTTTGTCCATATCTTTGCATGGCAGGAAACTTTTTCCTTTATCATGATTGTTATTTATCCCATATCAATTATGAGATTTTTAGTCGGAGATAATGCTGAGGCATCTCAAAGTCAATGAAGTTAGTAATATTTTCCCTGCTCAAAACGGAAACTCCGCGCATGGGAAGGCAATCGAGGTGACCAAGGAGAACTTGTTGCTTGTGCTTATCAAAAGGACAAGGTATCTTCGAGGTAATTCAATACCTTCAACAAATTATTTTAAGCACCACGAAATATGTTCTCTTTAAAGTAAGAGAAATTGGAAAATATAAAGAATCAATTTAATCCAAAAATTTAAGTCGTTGGGTGAAGTTATATTAATGTTTCTATATTTCTCTAATATGCGTCTTCACATGAGAGTCAATTGGGCTTAAAGGATTGACAATGCACAGATCTACCTATTTATGCTAAAAAAAATTCACAAGAGAAAGTAGAGGGCGATGAGGATCAAATTCGGGACACGAGACTTTGATATCATATAAAGAACTAATTCAATCTAAAAGTTTAAGTTGTTGGGTGAAGCTACATTAATGATTTTATATTTCTGTAATAAAAAAGTTTCTTTAATTTAATTTAAATACGTGAATCAATTGATACAAAATTATTAGTTTTGAATTTGAGTTTTAAACACACAACTATGATAAAAATATAGTTTTGTCACTCGTGTGTGTATATATATAGGTAAAATTATTTCTGCAGCCGCTTTACGTACATCAATGACAGGTGTATGGTTATGATTCTTTACATTTAATGCTTTCATCCTTTGTATGGTTATGATTCCCCGTATTTAATGCTTTCAAGTATATATATATAACAAGTATTTGATTGCTGCACGTACAGCAGCTGCATAAATATAAATTCCACACACACACACACATATATATATATATAATATATATAGGGAATGTTATATTTAAAAAAAATTGTTTATAAACTCTTTCAAACTATACTATGTCTGATCGGTCAGACTTAGTGTAATTTGTAAAAAAAATTGTAAACGGATCCTCCATATATATATATATATATATATATATATATATATTTCTCAAGTCACCTGAGATAACCTTATTTCTGGCCACCCAAAACTATGTCATTTTGTTTATTTATTTCCTTATATTAATTGATTCATCTTTGAATAATTATGATTCCATTTTTCTCTCTATTCCTTTATCACCCTTGATAAATCTTTGTATGATTATGATTTAATGGCCGAAGATATAGTTATTTCATTTTACTTGAGAAACGATAATTCCACACACAGACACTACCAGTAGTACATAGTTATAAAGAGTAGCTGTAGATAATCTTATCTAAAGTGGCTGTAAAAATATTTTTTCATATATACAGGGCTTATCGTTTCTCAAGCTGCTTGAGATAATTTTAACTCCAGCTACTAAATCATAACCATACAAGGATGAATCAATGGTGATAAAAGAAGAGAGGGAAAAAGAAAATTATAACCTTTCAAAGTTGAATCAATTAATTTAAAAAAATAAATAAATAAAACGACGTAATTTTGGAATGGTTGGAGATAAATTTATATATATATATATATATATATATAGAGAGAGAGAGAGAGAGAGAGAGAGAGAGAGAGAGAGAGAGAGAGAGAGAGAGAGAGAGAGAGAGAGAGAGACGATAATAAATAGTTGGGACAAGATGAAAGAGTTTTCAACGACAAATAATGTCAATTCAAGCTAAAACGGGGGCAGACAGAAAGTTTACTTTGAAACAAAGGAAAGTGCGACTTTAGTGAAATCCCCGTCAATATGAGTAGTAATTAGTTATTAAAGTTTAATGAATGTTCATGCATGCTTGCGTAGTGGAAC